AGCAGATGGGTGGAAGCATTTCATGCCGGGCCCTCACCCCAAAGCTCTACCTGATGGGAACTGTCACACTGCTCAGTGCCACAGGGCCAACACCTCCCTACAACTGGAAGCAGCAGCCCCCCACACCACGCATTGCCTACTCCACTGAGCACAGGAACGTGTACCACAATTGCTCAGTAGATCTCTGCCGCACACCCCCACCGAGCTGCAGCAGTTCAGAGGTGGGGCTGGCTGCAGCTTGCCTCCTGCATAGGCCAAGCTTTCCCTGATAGCTAAGAACACTTTAGCCCTTTGGGTTATGAAGAAAGCCTTAAAAAGAAGTGAGCGGAGTGTAACCAGACTGATGCTGTGACACCATCCAGCCTGTGGGGGAAGCTCCATCACTGTGCCTTGTTCAGCAAACAGCAAGGGCAGCCCTGCTGAATCCTGGTATCCTGCCCCACAGCAGGGGAGTGAAGATCAGCAGGTTCTGGGTTCTCTCAGGTTGCCAAGTTCCTAACCCTAACCCAGCCCTCGCCCCTCCCCCTGTCCCGCCCCTTCTCTGAGCCCCCTCCTCCCGCCCCTCCATAACTCTCTCTCCCCCCCACCCTCACTCACTTTCACCGGGCTGGGGCAGGGGGTTGGGGTACAGGAGGGGTGAGGGCTCCGGCTGGGAGTGCAGGGGCTGGGCTGGGGCCGAGGATGAGGGTTTTGGGGTGCAGGAGGGGGCTCTGGGCAGGAGCCGAGGGGTTCGGAGTGCGGGAGTGGGCTCCGGCTGGGGATGGGGCCGGGAATGGGGGGTTGTGACGAACTGGGATTGTTCTTAATGTGTTCTTTGAATACTATGTGCTTGCCTGTGATGCAGCAGGGAGAGGGGAGTATTGACCTGGGAAGGTTGCAGGGGAGTTTTGCTGAGACTGTCTCCATTGGGGATGGAGACTTGCCTTGCGGGAGGAGACCTGAGCACGTAACATGAGAACCCAGGAAGGTTGGAGGCCAGGTGACACCTCTGCCCAGGGAAATGGACAAAGGCTGGGAGAGGAGCCAAGGGGAGGCTGAATGAACAGCTGGAGGGAGTTTCAGTTTGAAGCTGGCTGGGAAATGGAGGGGAGCCCAGACTAGGCTCTGGCCTCCCTGCCCCCCCCCCCCCCCAACGATGGACCTGACTGAGGGGGTCCTGTTGTCTGTACCTGCAAGACCTGTTTGGGACTGTGTTCCTGTCGTCTAAATAAACCTTCTGTTTTACTGGCTGGCTGAGAGTCGTGGTGAATCGCAGGAAGGGGGGTGCAGGGCCCTGACTCCCCCACACTCCGTGACAGGGGTTGGGGTACAGGAGAGGGTTCCGACCTGGGGCACGGGGTTGGGGTGCAGGAGGGGGTTCCGACCTGGGGCACGGGGTTGGGGTGCAGGAGGGGGGTTCAGGGTGCAGGAGGGGGTTCAGGGGTGCAGGCTCCAGCCGAGCAGCGCTTACCTCAGGCAGCTCCCCGTCGGCAGCACAGCAGGGCTAAGGCAGGCTCCCTGCCTTCCCTGACTCTGCGCCACTCTTCGAAACAGCCGACATTTCTGCCCCTTAGGCGCAGGGGGCTCTGTGCGATGCCTCTGCCCCCACAGCTCCATTGGCCATGGTTCCTGGCCAATGGGAGCTGCGGAAGTGGCGCTAGGGGTGGGGGCAGCACGTGGAGCTTCCTTGATGGTCCCCGAGCCTCAGGGCCAGACATGTGGCCACTTCCAGGAGCCATGCGGAGCCAGGGCAGGCAGGGAGCCTGCCTCAGTCCCACTGCGCCACTGACCAGACTTCTAGCAGCCGGGCACCGGTGCTGACCGCAGCCGCCAGGGTCCCTTTTCAACCAGGCGCTTCCGTGCGAAAACCGGACGCCTGGCAACCCTAGGGTTCTCCCGGGCAAGGCCTGCTCCCTCCTCAGAGCACGGCTGCCATGCCTTCTCATGCCCAGCCAGGGGGGTGGCACATTTACAGTCCAGCCATTCGGGAAACGCAGCACTAGGATCCACACAGGCTCCTTGTGCAGCCCCACTGCAGCGCAGAGCGTGGGCCGCCGGTGGGTCAGCTGCCTCTCAGCCCCTTGATGCAAAGTGAAAGCAGTTCCTATGTACTTACTACAAACCTACTGTTCACTTTTTCCAGGATCTGCTTCTCGTTCAGGGCCATGGACTCCCCCTTCCGCTTTTTGATCCGCTTCTTCTCCAGCTTCTTGCAGGCATACATCTTCCCAGTGGCTCGCACCTGGCATGCGCACACCTGGAGGAAGCCAGCAGGTTCAGCATGCAGGCCAAACCCTGCCCCAGAACCCAGCTGGTGCAGGCCGAGGGATTAGACTCCACCCCTATCCAAACTGCTAATATTAGTGGCATGCACTTCTGGGTCTGCCAGCCAAGCAAGCCACCAGATCAACTCCATTCCTGATGGGCTTTCATAGTTCTCCCTTGCCTGCTGGTCTCTGATCATTGCCCCAGTGTGGCCTGTGCATCTGACTCTTCTGGTTACCTACTTCTCCCAACTTTGAGCTGTCCCCCTGTGAGCACATGGCAGTGAAACCTGGACACCTGTCACCAAGTCGTGACAAGGCCTGCAACCCATTGGCCACCATGGAGGGGATGCTCAAGGCAGTTACAGCCCAAGGAAGAGGTATAACCCAACGGCGTAAGCAAGGGGCTGGGAGTCAGAAGTCCTGGCTCTGCCACCGACTCAGGAGAATCCCAGCTGTGTGCCTCAGTTTTCCCATCTGTAAGATGGGAGAGAATGATATTGGCCCTCTGCCCAAGCAGTGGCAGGTGTGACAAGTGCTCCCCCAGCACTGCCTGTCCTGAACACACACCATGCCAGCCCCTCTCTCCCCACCAGACGCAGCTCTAGTGTTCAACATGAGGTGCTCTCCCCGCTCCAGAAAAGGGGAGCAAGAACAAGAGCAGAGAGCACCCAGCAAGGGAGGCTTTCCTGGGGACTGGGTCAGAAAGCAAGGCCCAGTCCCATCCTCAGGGGCGGGTGGGGCCCTTTGGCAGGACAAAGCTTTGGCCCCTGAATCTCCTGCATACTCGAAGGCGGGAGAGCGTGCAGGCCACTCACCTCACCAAAGCCTCCCTTTCCCAGCACGCGATACTGGCGGAAAGTGTTTTTAGTCACCGGCTGCCTGTGAACAAAGCAGAAGAGGCTGGCTTGAGAGGAGAGGGGGAGCAGTGAGGTACCAGGCTTGAGAGGAGAGGGGGAGCAGTGAGGTACCAGGCTTGAGAGGAGAGGCGGAGCAGTGAGGTACCAGGCTTGAGAGGAGAGGGGGAGCAGTGAGGTACCAGGCTGCGTGGCACAAGTCCCCCACCCACCCTGGTGCAGCAGGCACACCTGGCCTGACCTGGCCGACAGAGTCAGGAACTCAGAGGGCTAACCCTGGGCTCTGCAGCCACAGGGAAAGCAGGGCCTATTGCTGCCTTAATTAAAGCCTGGAAAGGGCTCTGTGGGTGCTGAGGAGAACAGCACCCTGCGCCGATGGGAGGGATCAGAACATCTGCTCCCACTTGACTGGCTTTGGCCAGAAAGCAAGGAGGGGCTGTGGGTCCCCTTCGAGCAGCACTCCCCAGCCCTGAGCCTGCAGGGCCCTTGGGCTGCAGGGCCCCCCGAGAGAAGCAGGGACAGACTTACCTTTCCATCCATTTCCACTGCAGGAAGCGGTTGAAGTAGATGCTGTCAAGGTAATCGGCAAAGGGAGCCACGCTCAGATAGTCATGGATGAGCCTGGGAGAGAGGGACAGCCAGTCAGTGATGGCAGGAGGATGCTGTAAATGTTTTCCAAAGGATCCGCTGCTCGCCAGCCCAGACTTGGGCCTAAGACCCCTCTGATCCAAGCAGCAGCTGGCCTTCCCCGCAGTTGCACCCAAGACGAAGGAGACCCTTGCACCCTCCTAGCAGGGCAGCCAGGCATTGCCCCAAGCACCCATCACCACCCCTGGAGAGCCCTTTGGTCCTGACATTCAGTGATCTGCAGCCGCTGCAGGAAGAGGAAGGTGACCATCGCCTGTGGGGAAAGCCGCTTATGGAGCTGGGCTGGCACTGCTCAGATCCAAGCATGGCCCCTGTGACCAGGCGCTGGCTGGGCTATGCACACGAGGAGGATGTGGTGCTGTCTGCCCCTTGGGAGAGCGTCCTTAGCAGCGGTGCCCGCTGCAGAAGGCCACGCCCAGACATCGTAATCAGCTGCTGAGGCACTGTTGCTGTGTGCAGGCACGGAGATCGGAGCAGGTCCACAACAGGCCACCCGGGGACCAGTCTGAACCATTCCCGGCTCCTGAGGCTGGTGCCAAGGCCAGGCTGCAGAGCGATGAGCCCTGCAGAAAGCGTCTGGACTGCAGAGTACATCAAGAGCAGCAGATGGGCTCTTCCCTTTCCAGGGGCTGCCAAGAGACGGCAGGGCCCAGGCTGGAGACTCCTTGTTCATACAACACCATTGGTTACGTTCCATAAAGGCAGCGGGCACACCTGCTGCTAGGCCCAATATTCAGTTAGGCAACGTCTGGGCTGGAGAGCACGGGGGAGAAGGAGGATCGGCTTGCTTAACGGTTTCCTTTACATACTTACACGGTACAGAACTCCAGGCACCATCACTGTGGTTCCCCCCCAACCAAGCAGGCCTCAGGCCCTGCACGTCCCACCTCCTGGAGTCCCCCGGACTCACAGCTGCTACCATGTGTTCACAACAGCCACATCCAGATGCAGACAGCATTAGGGCAGGTAGAGCATTTGACTCTTGGTCTGTCCCAGTCTCAGCCCAAAGAGACAGGCTGGAGAGCCCAGCGAGAGCCACAAGCAGGAGGTCAGCAAGTCCAGGGCTGACCATAGGAGATAGGACAGGATCCATTCAGGATGGTGACTCGAACACCAGGAAAGAGAGAGAACACATAAGAACAGAGATTCCTGCACCACCTTGTGGCCTTCAGGGACCCCTGAAATGCAGGAAACGCAGAAGCTGGCCTGCACTCACACTTCCTTCCCCCATCAGTGCTGGCTAGATTCAGCCTGCTCAGTGCAAATGCAAATCCCGTTAGCTATCAATGCTAGGGAGCAAGTCTCAAATCCCAGGAGCAACCCAAATTGCTCCTTCAGGGGCCACACTGGACTCAGCCAATGACCTGTAATGTCCATTCCCCTGGGAATATTTACACTATCCAATGTAACCTCGAGCCAGGCCCTGGGGCCCCTCCCCAACTTACTTGGTTGCTTCCTTGAAGAGCTCCTTGGATGGCTCCTGCTCCAGCCTCTCAGAACAAGCACTCACCAGCGGCGAGGGAACTTCGGGCACATGATCCACATTCTGGGAGAGGAGGGACTGAATCAGACACAGGGAGCTGAGCCCCAGGGGCCTCCATGGGCTGCCGCTAGGGGAACGGAATCCGCAGGAACCCAGCACAGGTCTTGGCCTGCCCCCAGGATCTCTGTTACTGGGGGAGTGGAGGGACTCTTTGCTCCCCTCTGCCCTGCATTGGGGGTGGCTGGTGCTCTTTCCCGAGCACGCTGTGAGCGTCTGGGTGCTAATGCTTCCCAAGCGTCTCTTACACATGCTGGCACGGAGCCAGCAGTTCAAGCAGCCTGCTCGGGTCGATTACCTTGGGGTTTAGGTAGCTGTCAATCAGGTGCTGCCCACACTCTTTCCGCTTCTCATCTGGAGTCACTTCATACTCTGCCTGTACAGAGAAACCGAGGCTGGTAAGGACTACCCCTGCTGGGCATGGAGATATGCAGGAAGTGCGTGCAGAGGGAGTGCCACAGAACAGCATGAATTAGCTGCCTGCCATCAATAATACCCCTCTCCCCATTACTGGGACAATGGGGCTCCTGCAAACTGCCCCCCAACCTCAGGGCACAGCCCCAATCTTTACAGAACAGCAGGTAACAGACTCTTTCCGCAGGGAAACGCTGCAGCATAAAGCGGAGGGTCAAGAGTTCAGGTCTCCCCACACACTCAGCCCTACATTTAGCAACAGACTGAGGGCTCTACGCCAACTGGGCCTTGGCCCCTGACTCTCCAGACATGGGTCACAGCGTCCTGGAGGAATTTCTCACACAGCTCTGTGCTTACCACAGCATCCAAGAACTTGACACAGCGTGACAACTCAGGCCGCGTCTCGCAGAACAGCCGGAAGAGCAGGCGCCCAATCGGCTGCTTCTCACACAGGCTGCGATAGTCCCGCTCTGCAAATGCAAAGGAGGAAGTGAGCCGCTTGCCTCAAATGTAGGTATAAGCAAAGCCCATCATAGCCACAGCCAATGAGAATTCACAGACCAGGCCAGTAGGGGGCGCTGCAACAATCTACTCTTATACAGGCCAAAGAATCATGCCCCGTGATTCCTCTATGGAGCCCATAACTTGCAGCTGAACTAAAGTGTAGCATTTAGGAAAAGGCATCCAGTCCTGGTTAGAGACGCCACCTGACACGAGCCTAGGTAAAGCTGTTCCAACACGCAAGTCCCTTCACTGCTAGAACTTTGTGCCTTATTTCCTCCATTAATCTAATCTGGATAGCTTCAATATCCAGCCATAGGATCTTGGTCTGCCTCTGTCTTCTACATTAGAGCCCTCCTTTCCAAAATATTTTCCCCATGGAGATATTTACTGCCCATGGTACAGTCACCACAGCTTTCTCTCTGATAAGTTTAATCTATTTAACTTCTTAACCCTTTCCCTGTACAGCAGGTTTTCCAGACCTCAGATCGCTCTTGTAGCTAGTCTATAAACCTTTCATAATTTTTCAACATGCTTCTTAAGGTGCAGACACCAGAACTGGCCTCTTCCCGTAACGGTCTCACTAATGCTGTATACAATGGTAATGTCACCTCTCCACATCTGCTTGATATTCCCCTGCTTGTACATCCAAGCATCACGTTAGCTCTCTTAGCCATCGCATTCAACTGGGAATAATGTTCAGCTGGTTATCTACCATACTGCCTCCCCCGCCCCAGGCAAGTCCTTTTCAGAGCCACTGCATTTCAGGATAAAATATGGTCTATGTTCTTTATCCCTAGATGTATGCCTTTGCATTTGACCATAACAAAACACATTTGTTCATGCCCCACTTACCAAGCAATCCAGATCACTCAGTATCAGTGACCTGTCCTCATCTTTATTTACCACCCCGATCAATCTTTGGGCCATCTGCAATTTTTTTCTTTATTTCTTTTTAAGTCTGCAATGCCTTTATATTTTCTTTCAGCTCATTGGTAAAAATATGTAAAAACATTACTGAGGGGTGGACTGAGAACTGATTCCTGCAAGACTCATTGCTTATTCCCCATTAATCAGTAATGTTTAAAGCCCTCACTCAGCCAGCAGGGACCGGGACACCTGGCCATCCCAGCCTTCAGGGGGGCTCCATTTGCCCTTGGGGTCTATGCCTGCTCCAGGCAGAGCAGAAGGACCTCGCTCTGCTCACACTACGGGGTGAGCAGGGTGGCACTGGAAGGGTAGCACTGGGGGGAGGGGGAGAATGCATCTCACTGTATTCAGCACCTACCCCGTGCCCCTCCCCAGGACAGAAGTCCCCACACTGCTCCATAGGATGCCAGGGCCCCGCCCTCCTACATGGCAGGCATATTGTAGGCGTTCCCCTCCCCTATGCAGCAGTTTCTCCTGAGGAAGCTGCGGCTTCCTGAGTGGTGCAGAGCTCAGCGACAACAGCTCCAGCCCAGGGGAGGGGGTCACACTGCTGCCTCACTAGCTGCACTATTTCCTTCTCTGTGGGGAAATGAGCTCACTCCAATGAGGAAGGTGAAAGGTTTGCAGCCTGGCAAGGTCAGAGACTCCCTCGGTGCCATCACTGGCCCCAGAGCGGCACAGGCCTCACTGCTTGCAGGACTTGGCACTGCCAGTGCATGCACAGAGGCTGGATTTCTGCAGTGGGTTTTTTAGCTCAGTGATGTAGCGGGGCCTGTCCACCCCCTCAGGTTATGTGGGGAGGGAAATAAGAATGCCCACACCTGGCCTTGAAGCCATTAGTGAGAGAGGAAAATACGGGAACCCCTGCTGGAAACAAACATGCAGACCCATCCTGAACATGGACTACCATCCCCCTCACCTCTCCCCAGAGGGGCAGCACTTCAGTCCTTTACCTGTAAATGAGAAGGAGTCTCTACCTGGAACAGATCTACAGCCAGTAAAGCACAAAGCTGGAGCCCACCAAAGGGAGTAGAGGGGGCACGGGGAGCGACCCAGCAGGGAGGACAGGAACCAGGTCTTCCAAAGCAACCCAAGGGCAACGCCTTGGCCAGATGTGCCAGAGGACAGTGGAAAGGACATTTAAACTTTGACAGCCAGCCTGAGTGAACCGGCAGCACAACAGCGGATGAAATGCCTTGTAATGCCCACTGAATAGAGGTCTGAGCACCAGAGACCAGCTGAAGAAAAAGCTCTGCTTAGTGAGCACAACAGTCAGAACATTGGGATGGCTATGCAACAGGCTAGAGACGAAGGCAGCTCCCATCCTCAGCAATGGGGGGCAGAACTGTTCCAAAATCTCAGCTTTTGTTTAAAAAGGTAAACAGGAGCATTTGGTCCTAAGTTCAGCAGTGGCACCCTCCACCCCCAGCAAAAGGGAGTTGTGGGGGAAGGGTGGGGGTGTGGCAGACAGGGCCGGGCGAGACGGGGTGCGATGGAACTGAGCTAGAAGCTTGGAGCTCACACACGGGATGGAAGTTAGAGTAGGCCCCCTGTTGCTCTAACTTCCAGTGGGGCCTCACACTCAGGATGAGGGAGCCACACCCAGCTCCCTGTGGCCACCACCATCCAGTGTGCTCAGAATCACGGCCCAAGTTCACAATGTGACCTGAATGCACCTGATGCAGTGACATCTGCCCTAGTCTGCAGACGGCCTGAAACAATAGCTCAGGGGGGGAACTACATAATTCATCTCAATTGGCTGTTAACTCTGAAATGTAACGGTGACAACTTAAAATGTGACGTCACTATTTCACTAATATTCAGCTGTAAGGCGTTTATCCCACAGCGTCAAACAACCCCAGGGGCCCAACGCTCCAGCTGCCCCCTACTCAACTGCCAAAACCTCCAGCTCCCTCCATGGCTTTGATGATGCAGTTATGCAATGGCAGGACCAAAACCTGAGCACCTCACGCACCGAAAACACGGGGACAGCATCCAACAAACTGCACTGAGTATCAGAACCACCAACCCAGCGCTACTAAATCAGCCGTGACGGTCTCAGCTGCAGTTCACTGAAAAGCTCCGCTGGTAACCAGAATGATGCTGCTGCATCAGATCCCCAGGGACCGCGGTGAAGAATTTAGGCCCAGCTTGCCAGGGAATATACGGGACCTTGGCCATAGGAATCCGCTGGCTACTCCATCTATGTAAGGGGAAGCCCTGAAATGCGATTTGGGGCTCAGCTACACCCTTTGGGCTGTTTAATGAAAGAAAGTTCCTGTCTCTGGGGAAACCTGTCATGGTTTAGAGCAGTGGCTCAACCAGGGGTACACAGAGCTCTTCCGGGGGTACATCAACCCATCTAGGTGTTTGCCTAGTTTTACAACAGGTTACATAACGAGCACTAGTGAAGTCAGGACACAATAAAATTTCATACAATTACTTGTTTCTACTGCTCTATACACTATGCACTGAAATGTAAGTACAATATTTATATTCCAGTTGGTTTATTTTATAATGATATGGTAAAAATGAGAATGTCAGCATTATTCAGCACTAGTGTGGCTGTGACACTTTTGTATTTCTATGTCTGATTTTGTAAGCAAGTCATTTTTCAGTGAGATGTAACTTGGGGGTGTGCAAGACAAATCAGCCTCCGGAAAGGGGGACAGTAGTCTGGAAAGGTCAAGAGCCACTGGTCTAGAGGACCCTGGAGGACCTTGCTGGATATGTCCAGCGGGCTTGGAGAAAGCATGACTTACCAGCATTCCCCCTTTCTCTGCACCCAAACTCTTACCCCGTCTGGCAGGTCTGTGCCCTCTGTACACACCACAGTGACCCTAGTTTTTCCCATGACACACTGAGTCTCTCAAATGCAGTTAGGCAGAGCTTACAGGACAAGGGATGAACTCCCCGCCAGGCAACTAAGAGTCACCCCAAGGAAGCCAACCATGTATCTCCGCCAGCCCCACGTGCAAACAGGGCAGGGGACAGCACTCGACATCCAACAAACAGCTATTCCTCACCGAGTGCTTGCCGGAGATCTTCACACAGGCTGATGTGCGGGAACTGCAGCATCTGGCGCCATTTCTTACTCTTGCCCTTCCTGTTCCCTCCGCCGCCTGCAGGGGCACAGAACAGACATCACAATGAGGCAGCCACAAACGAGACCCAGCTAGAGTGTCTGACCTGGCAGCGGAGACAGCTGGGAAGGAGACACCCCCCTGCTGAGCCACACCTAGCCAGCAGGAATCAGGGAACGGACTGCCTGGACCTGAGCCCCATGCTGTGGATCTAGACAGCAGTGGTGCCTTTCTCCCTGCATGACAGGACCCCGCCTTGCTGCTAAAGGAAAGATAAATCACTCCAGCTCCTTAGAGAAGAGCAGGAAGTCACTGAATCAACAACAATGAGCTCTTCTATCCAAGCATTTCAAAGGAGTTATCTGCTATTACAGATGGGGAAACTAAGGCATAGACTGGAGAAGGCCTAAGAGCATCTGTATCAGCTGAAGTTCTAGCTCCCAAGCCTGTATTCAGATCCCATCTCTGAAAGTAAGCTGAAGAGTAACATTTACCTAGTGCTGCAAAGGTATGAAGTCCCCAGCTGCAGGATTTCCTGCCTAGCACAATTAGAGATGTTCATGCTACCTAGTCTTCCAAGGCTAAATATATTCACTACAGGGAGGCAACATGCTATCGAAAAATGCACCTGGGACCGGAAGACAAGAATTTCTGCTCTAATCCCAGCTCTGCAGCCAACTCACTGGGTAGCCTTGGGCAAGTCGCTTCAGCCTCCCTGCCTACAAATGGAACGAACTCCTCCCTCCCTCCCAGGTAGGGAGCGAGAGTTAGTTCCTGTCTGGAAAGCAGGATCCAAGTGCCAGGTATCATTATAGCATCAATACTGTTAAAAGCAGATTGGTCTCTTAGGGTTAATTGCCCAGCGCCATGGGACAGGATTGGGAAGCTCTCTAAATACTCTGTAAATGGCAAGTATTAAAATGCTGCACTCTGGAAACTAGCCCACAGCACACCTGTCTCTCCTCCAGGCCAGCCAAGGTGCACTTGAGCTGTGTTCAACCCCTCAGCCACACCCAGCTGATTCAGGCCCAGAAATGGGACTCTTCAAAAGAAAAAACGGGGAGGAAGATGTTTCTTTCTGATTGATCGATCAGCTAGTGAAAAAGCAGTTGGCGGCAGCACACCAACAACTGCTGAACACATGAGCCAACCCCTAGTGTTGATCCTGGCCAGTTTGCACATCAGCCAGATTTCCTGCAGCCACCACTGGGGGGCCTATAAGAGACCATCTGGACAGGGACAGGATGGGGGCACTTACTAAATACACAGACAAAAGCCTTGGCAGAGGGGTGGAGGGAGGGACTGTACCCAGCAGAAAATCCCCAGGTACAGCGCAGGACCGAGTGCCTCCAGCTCTGGCCAGCCCGTGGTATTGCTGCCTTCAACAAGAGCTTCCCCCAGGCTCACTTCTCACAGTCCAAACGCACAACACTGAAAGCTTCAGAGAGGCAAACATCCGGAGGAGACACTGCTGCCTCCGGTACCAGGCACGAGCCACCAGCTCCATACACTACTTGGGCTCTGGATAGAGCGAAATTCCAGCCCAGAGTGTCTCATGCAGCCACGCAGGCTACAGCAGGCTGGAGCCCAAGGAGCTGAGCACCTGGTGCACATGCCAGAGTTTGCTGCATGTTCTGTGGGCAGCAGCATTGCATCTGCCCAACATCAGCAGCTCCGCTGTGCAACTCTACAAACCCAGGAAGGAAGTGACTCAATGCCCCGGGCAAGTGGAGGGGGAGAAGGAGCCAGCAGCACAGACACCTTCTTCTCATCTACAGCCTGCAGTGACAGGACGTGAAGGACGAAGGTTGGGGGGGGGGGGCACAGAGCCAGGGAGAGCCCACCTGACATGCAGAGGGTTTGATGAAGGGCAGACCCAGAGCGCCATTTCATGCTGGGGGAGGCAGGAGGAGAAGAGAAGAGCTGCAGAACTCACGTTTCCTTTGACTTGTTTGTTTAGAAAAGGAACCGTGGCATTCACCCCCCCAAGCTCTCCCCTCAGTTACAGCAAGCATCTGGGTGCCCAGCTGAGCTCTAGCTGCCCTCCCTGCACAACTGCCTCACAGCAGCCAGCAGTGGGGGCACTTCAGCTAATAGCCCCTGCCTAAGGGGGAAGCCCATTCTCCAGGAGGAGCTCTTCCCCACCCAAAGTCTGAAGGAGCTGGGCTCCAGGGCACACTGCCAAGTTGGCCTATTTTCAGAGGCATGGGGGCAAGAGTGGGTGAGTGGTGGGGAGTTAATTTGGGGGAGGGGTTGATATTGTAGGGAACAGCTTTACATTCAGTGGGCCAGATCCTCAGCCCCTCTTGGCTCCTGGCCCCCAGCTGCAGTGCAACGGAAACTTGCAGTGCTCTTCGGGCAGCAGCTGAGGACTCCCTGAGCACACGTTCCATGGGGTAGGGCAGCGCCACCCCACCCCACCCGCATCAGTGTAAGTGGTGTTCCAGGGAGGCTGGACTGACGAGCAATCCTGGCCAGCAAAGCGGTTCTGTCCACCAGCACAGGCTGCTCTCACTTGCAAGGGGGGCTTTGCAACTTGACCCCCAGGATAGGGGGATGCAGAAGGGTGGTAGAGCCACCTACTGCTCCGGCACATCCAAGCAGCTAGGCCAGCACATGTATTGCAAACTCTGGATTGGTGCTTTCCATGGTTCTAATAAAAGACTGTACGGCACATTAACTCGGTGGGTGTGCTTAACTGCACCCAGACGCCCAGGGAAAGTGACCGTTAATAGCAGAGCAGAAAGCCCGGCTGAGCTCCTTGCTGGATAGTTGCCCAGAACCGAGGCTGTGGGTCCCCCATGTGCGAGTAACTGACTCCAGTCTCTGGAAGACAGCTGTTTATGGCAGGGTTCCTTTCACGTCTCTTGAGTCTGGGTGCAAGATAATTGCTGCCACCTAGTTTCTCTGGAGCAGTGGTGGGCAACCTGCGGCCCATCAGGGTAATGCGCTGGCGGGCCATGAGACACTGTTTACATTGGCCGCCCGCAGCGGTTCGCCGTTCCCAGCCAATGGGAGCTGCCGGCGGCCAATGTAAACAGTGTCTCGCAGCCCACCAGTGTGTTACGCTGACAGGCGCGGGGTGCCCAGCCCTGCTCTGGAGGCTTTGATAGCATCTCCCTTCAGACACTGGACCCTTCCATATCGAAGTCTGACACTGAAGGGATTTCAGTTCCCCACCTCATCGGCACATAGCTCTGGGATTACCTGGCCTGAGTCTTCTAACTTGCCTGGGGTTTCTACCCCAAACCTGATTTTCAAGTCGCTTTGAGAAGTTTCTCTGCCCATGTCCCTATTCAGCTTTTGTTTTTCCCCAAAAACCCTCATCTTCAAAACCTTTTCCTAGACTTTAAATCCAGCAGGGGCCACTCTCTGTTCACTTAATCTGACCTCCTCCATAACAGAGGCCAGAGTCTTTCACCCCCATTCCTGCAGTGAAGGGAATTCTTCTTCACTCGATAAGTGACACTACTGAGCTCAGTAGTGTGTGGTTGAACTGGATCTCTTTTAGAAAGACAAGCAGCCTTGATTCAACGGCTTCATGTGATAACAAAGTCACCACTTCCAATGGTGAGCTGTTCCATTGGCTAATCACCCTCACAGTCAACTTGCACCTCCACCGAGCGCCACGTTGCTACTAGCCTGCCACCCAACCAGAAGTCCTGGAATTCAGTCTCAGCACCTGGCAGAGCCTGCTCCATTTTCCAGAGGGCTGAGGCCCATGGTCACTATAGGAATCAGCAAAGGAGTGGGACCTGCACCTATAAAGTTTTGGGGTCAGCCCTGGGGTGGGGAGAGCCACTACAGAGGCAGTTGGATTGTCAGGCTGAATTCTACCATTTTGCCCAAGAGACTGCAGTCAGGCTTTGCTCCTTTGCCTTTACGACAGCAGCAGCCTCTGGGACAAGTATCAGAGGGGTAGCCGTGTTAGTCTGAATCTGTAAAAAGCAACAGAGGGTCCTGTGGCACCTTTGAGACTAACAGAAGTACTGGGAGTATGCAAGTCTTGCATCTGAAAAAGTGAGGTTCTTACCCACGAAAAGCTTATGCTCCCAGTACTTCTGTTAGTCTCAAAGGTGCCACAGGACCCTCTGTTGCCTCTGGGACAGGCTCTGGAACCACTGAGATCCACAGTGTGGTGT